AGGTCACCTTGCCTGTATCCTATCATTGCCTCTGATAGTTTTTATCTTGTTGTACTACATAAGCAAGGTGCGGTCATTAGGCTATGGTTTTAGTGTGTCATCCAAGGCTTTTTGTGCTGAAATTTAATTCCCATTGTTGGGTTAATAAGAAGGCAGCAATTAAAAAGCTCTATCAACTGGTGCTCAGCTCAGAGGCAGGGACTTGAGTGGTGTTTAGGACTAGATAAGAGTGGGGGGTGGGGAGGGGGAGCTGGCAAGATGGCTCAGCAATCTTTCAGCCCCTGTTGCTCTTGCAAAGCACCCAGGCTCAGTTCTCAGCACCCATGTGGCAGTTTACAGTCATTTGTAACTCCAGTTCTGGAAGATCCAATGCCCTCTTCTAACGTCCCCAAGCACCAGGTACATGTGTGTTACACACACACACACATACACACACACACACACACACACATTTATATACACACGTGGGTAAAATACTTACGCACATAAAAATGTAAAAACCTAAGACAATTTTATATTAGAGTATGAAGTATAGCCCTGATGAGTGGAAATTGAATATATCTTTATAAAAAGAGAGACCCCTCCCCAATCCATGTACACACTCCCTGTCTCCCAGGTAATGTCACCTTGACTCTGTCAAGTAGGAAGGTCATCACCTTGACCTTGAATCAAAGTAATGAGGCAAAACGAACCATTTTTCTTTATAAAGTACCTTACCTCCCGTATTTCATTTTAGTAATGAAAAATGAATTAGGTCACAAGAATTTGCAAACAGTACAGAGTTGTGTTTGTTCATGCATGTACTGCTATTTGACAATGTGGGGAAGTTTGTGGAACTGTGTCTTGAACAGCCTGGGAACGTCTCAGAGACACGGCAATTGTGTTCAGAATGCCTCTCAAGTGAGTAGCAGAGAGAGTGTGTGTGTGTAGCCTCCTGCATACCTAGGCTGCATGTGCTGCAAAACAGGCCTGCACTGACATGAGTAGGGCTTGAAGAGACAATCTGTCCCTCTCCAAAAGAGTCAGGGTGGCAGGATGGCTGAGGACAAAGAACGGAGACCAGACAAGTAAAATCATTCTGTCACGCACAAGTCTGGGGAGCCACAAGTCCCAGGTCTCATACTTAAGAGTCACCAGCTCACACCATGGGCACTCAAAAGAAATGCCCACTGGCTTCTTCAGCTGAGGGATGGATGTCTACGGCTGTTTCAGTGTCCAATGGTACAGCAGACAAAGAGCTGTGCTCTCAGCTCCCAGGTCCTCTGGGATGGGGATAATAACTTTGAAGTCCACCTCTATGTGGAGAAGGAAAGTGGACAGTGAAGGAGAGGTGACAGCCAGCAAGGGAAAGTTGCTATCTCAGGAGCACAGCCCCCAGGACAAGCATGGGATGGAGCAGTCAGATGGCTAGCCTCCTGTTTAGGAAAATGCAAAGACAACCCAGGGAGCTGTGTAAAGTCCTGAGGTTCACACTGCTTATCCATCTCACTGCTTGGTCCTTAACAGCACTGGCTTATACAGAGGCTTTCGGTGTTCTGGCTGTTGGGAAGTTAATGGCCTGTGAGAGAGCATGGAGAGGCAGCCTTTCCAGGAACTCACTTCTTCCAAATGCCCATCTGAGAGGATATTTAGGCTCAGTGACCAGAGAACACTTGCTTTAATGAAACATTGATGGGGAGGGGTGCTGGGAGAGGAGTACTGAGGGAGGGGTGCTGGGGGAGGGTGCTGGGGGAGGGGTGTTGGAGGAGGGGTGATGGGCTCACTTAGGACAACTGTCTCAATATAGTCCTTGGAGCAAAAGGGAGACCTGAGAAACACTGCAGGCAGTTATAAGTAGCAAAGAAAAGACCAGCAGTGGGTCTGGTGGGAAAGACCAGTAGGGAAGTGTCTATGCTACACTCCAGGTTCTAATCTTAGCAAAAGCCTTCACAAACCTGAGTCTTTCAGCAATTTGCCAGGGACTGGTCTACTATCTCTTCTTTTTATCTTCTCTGTGACCTGTGAGAAGATGCTAGCATTGTCAGCCTGTTTGAAGAGGGCACCTGCCTCTTTGCACTTTCATTGATTTTAAATAATAGGAATCTGAAGCTCCAAGAAAAGTTAGAGGAGGATGGAGTCAGGAAGGAAGCACAAAGGAAGCGCCTGCCTGGCAGAGAAGGCCACGGTCACAGTCAGGGGCCATCCTGAGTTAGGTTGCATATAATATTTGAGGAGTACCACACAATGTGTCGTCCAATTGTGGACCATAGATGATGTCCCCATCAGATGACAGTACCACTGAGATCATCAAAGTAACTCCACTCTGAACACTGAGTGACATTTAGCAGGATAAATTCCCACTGGTAAACCACACACACACACACACACACACACACACACACACACACACACAACTGCTGCATTGGTATTTAAATTAGAAGTCACAGGGCGATAGAGATGGCTCAGCAGTTAAGAGTACTTGCTGCTCTTTCAGGGAACCCAGGTTTGGTTTCCAGCACTGACATGCAGCTCACAACCATCTGTAACTCCAGATCCAGGGGATCTCGGTCTCTGCAGGTACGGCATACATGTGGCACACATAATGACACACAGGCAAATACTCAATACAAAAATAAAATCAAGTTAATTTTTTTCAGTTGGAAATGACATCATATCTATAATTATTTAAACTCCATGCACATGTTACTGGATTGTGTACTATTTTATTGAAACTATATCAATATATCTCATGTATTTTGTGATACATTAATACATAGTTAAATTTTAGCATGTATGGTACCTTATATTAGCTATTTATCATTAATTATATAACAGAATATAATGACACCATACCTTTCATAATAATGTTTAAATTTGTATACCAAGTGAAGCCACTGGAGTCTGTGATAGTAAAAACTTTTAGTGGTGGCCTCCGGGGAAGGTGGCTCTTTTTAGAAAGAGTAAAGGTGAAGGACTCTATATGCAACCCTTAATGACAGCACGGTCACATTTAAAACATGTTTGAGGGCTGCCGAGATGGCTCAGCAGGTAAGAGTGCTTGCTGCCAAGCCTGACCACTTGGGTTCAGTCTCTGGAACTCAGCTGGTGGTTGAGAACTGACTCTCACAAAGTGTTCTCCGACCTCCATGTGCACAATGTCATGTGCGCTCTTCACCCGACCCCATGTACACACAATAAGTAACAGAAAAGATAAATTAATAAAAAATTTCTAACAAAGGGTCTGGAAAAGGGACCCAGCCCACTCTATTTTGGCAACTGTGTGGGATATCCTCAGCCCACAATGTAGTGTTGGGATTTTCAGTCATGCACCAAGACTTCCAGAAAGGCCTATAGAGTCAGGATGGCCAGGGGCAGGGAGAGGGAGAAGAGAAAGGGAGAAGGGCCCAACTTAGAGGGTCTGTTAGGCAGGGAGGAACACCCATCATCCCAATGAGTCAGAGCTACTCTGTCAAGCATTGGCAAGAGCAGCCCTGGGAGCCCTGATGAAGGCTATTCTAACCATGCCTTGCTGTGGCACCCCGGGTGGTCTTCCTTCTTCTGTCAAAGTGATAGTTGTCTCTCCTCACAATCCACTGCTAAGAAGGTCTACCCTTGGGCCCACATTCCTAAGAGACTCTCCTAAATCACATGTGCCAGGCAGTGGGCACCAAACTCAGTCAGTGCCTCACAGATTCTATTCTGCAGACTCCTGGGAAGGTGAGAGCTGCTAGTGCCTGCAGCCAAGGAGCAGGCCAGGCAAGACGCAACTGTCCATTTCTCAAACCAGTAAGGACCCTTATTTTCTAACTGAGAGCACTGGAGCTACATACATTACAGCAATTGGGGCATGAATAGATGCGGCAACGCCTAGGGGCTGGGCAATAGCACCCCTTACTTGCTTTCCCCAGCCAAGTCATTTAGAATGACACTCTACAGCCTGGGGGAGCCACCACATCAGCCCATCCTGCTTCCCTTCAGACTGCTTATATAGAGCAATGTGGCTGCCTGCTTTGTTTAGGCCACAGAGCTGGAATTTTGCTTTGCAGCAGGCTGACCTGTGTCCTACCTGCTCTTAGCAATGATCTGACTGTGTGCCTACAGGCAGACACTAGGTAGCAGGCTGGGTTCCTTTTCCAGACACTTTGTTTTGTGATGACTCTGTTTCTTGGTTATTGATTTGATACACCCGGGAAGAAGGAGCGTCCACTGAGGAATTGCCGCTATCCGATTGGCCTGTGAGCATGTCTGTGGGGGAATTTTCTTAATTGCTAATTGCTGGAGAAGGGCTCAGTCCACTGTGGACAGTACCATCCCTGAGCTATAGGAGAATGCTAGCTGCAGATGCAGGTAGCAAGCCAATTAGCAGAATTCCTCCATAGTCTTTGCTCCAAGCTCCTGCACTGACTTCCCACAGCTTGTGAGATGAAACAAATCTTTCCTCTCCAACTTGCCTTTGTCCATGGTGTTTAGTATAGTAACAGAAACCAAACTAGGATAAGCAGGTTGGGAATCTTTTGTTCTATGCAGGGAGAAATTATTGACTAGAAAGCCGGTGTATTGGTATGCAGCTTTTATTCTAGTACCTGGGAGGCTGAGGCAGGAGGAGGTGACAACTTTGAAGCCAGTCTGAGTTACAAAGCAAGTTGGGGAGGTAGGGGTGGGTATGTAGAAGCCAAAGACTCCGGGTTCCAGGCACTCAAGATAAAGGCTCTGTTGCCCTGGGCTTTAACTCGCCCCAGCCCAGCCCTGGGAAGCAGTGCTAACTAACCCTATTCATATCAAGACCTTTCAGGCTGGCACCTGGCTTCTTGAGGCTTCAGAGCTTCTCGGCTCTTCACTTATCTGCTTTAGTGTCTCTTGCAGGTCTGGACTAGCATCTTGCTGGCCTCAGTAGTAAGGGCATCACAGTCACCTAGCAGACTTAAGAAAGGAACTGGAAGGCAGACTTATATACCCAGAAAGGGGGTGTGGCAAGGCTGCCAGCACCAATCAGAAGCAACGCTTCATGCAAATGAGCTTCGTTCGCACCAACTCCACACAGTCCTTCATTCTCAGTCCAACAAGAGAAGGCTCCTTTCTGGTGTGAGTGGAAATGGTTACAGGGTCATCTAGAGTTCAAAGAGGCTAGTGGTGGGCACTACGTTTCTCGCAAGCTGTTTGAAACCACTGTGTGGGTGGGATGTGACTCTGGAACCAGCATCCTGCTTCCGAACCAGTAGCTGATTGCAGCTGAGATCCCCAAGGCGTCCAGGAGAGTTCAAAGCAGCCGGCTGCAATGAGGGCAACTGGCAATTTGCCGGGGCTGGCAGTCCACCACATAAGGCAGCCTGGCACTGGGGAAAGGTGTGACAGCTGTCAGTTGGGGACTCTAATTACTCCAGCTCTTAACAACTCAATTTAAAAGAAAAACAACAAGAAAAAGGATCACTTATCATTAACATTAAAATTATTACTAGTATTTCACAGTGCTCTGCTCTTAACTAAAACCTTGGGGGAGATTTGGGGTCATTTTACCTGTTTCATAATCTTCCAGATTCCTCTCCTATCACAAATAATTGCAGGACCACAGGACTATGTCTCCTTCTGCCTTCTCATCACCTAGAACAGGACAAAGACTTCTCTTCCAGCCACTGAAATCATTGAGGACAGTTTCCCAGACTCCACTCCGTTGCAATATAGGCTTGAACCTCCACTTACCATTGACCATCACGCAACCAGGGGCTTTCCCATCAGCCTGTTGTGCAAGGTCCAGTGGCAATCTGGAGTAGCAGAAACCCACTCAAAGTAGCAGCATTGAGAGGTTGCTTGAGGGAGGCTGCCGTAACCCTAAACCCTCTCTCTGTCTTGTTGTGCCCGGCCTTCCCTGGAGTACATGGGTGAGAATACAGGACTCGGGTGAGGCTCCTGGGAGCCCATGCTGATTTATATCCGTACCCTGCCTTTCCCCAAGATGGCTCACAGACAAGCTGGATGGCATAACCAGGATGGTGCTGATGAGGGGAAGAACATGTCCATCATACATCCTCGGCCAAGGTGCATGTGGACACGGTTTGTTCCTTCCTCAATGCCACCAACATGACCATAACCTCTGTCCCTGCAATGTCCCTTGTATCTGTAGCCACATTGATTGTTTAATGATGAAGAGAAATTATGCTAACACAGCTGGAAATCAATGTCTCATTTCCCCAGGGCCTGTTTGTCCTCAGAAGGTACATTCGGTCACAGGCAAAGGGCAGAGGTCACAAGCTGGTCAGATGGGATGCCCATCCTTTAATCAGATGTATTGGTCGTACATGAATGCTCAATGACTGCCAGCTCTCATCAGACAGGACAGGTTAGCAGGCCTCTCCCGGGCCCCCAGAATAGTGGTCTCTACATTCTGAGACTCAGAGCTTCACACCACATGGTACAGGATCTCTGCTGAAAACCTACCTGCCAGCTGCTTCCAGGTCTCTGAGGGGCTCCTGGGGAACCTTGGCTCACACAGCATCCAGCTATTTTAGTGAGGTCCATAGGAAAAGTTTCCTTCTAGAAGGTTCTCACCTTACGCTGTGCACAGGTGAACCAGGAAGATCTTCCTGAAGCTGAGGTGCTAAGGTGGCTAGCCCTGGGCACCTCCCTGGCTCATTCCCTACAGAGCTCACAGCTTCCCTTTGTTGTTTGTTTCCTTTGATCTTAGGGCCCAGCCTGTAGAGGGTGTGTGCCTGGATGCAAACCTGACAGTAGAATTCCATGGCAGAAGCCCCAAGTATCCCAGGGAAGTGGGGAGGCAGAGGAAGTGGCCTAAGTCCATCCCCTGCCTGGAGAAGACGCCTAAGATGTCAAAGTTACTGTGCAGGGAAGAAATCACCCAGCTACTTCCTCGGGGAGGGCCAACAGAGTGTATGATGTTAACCTCAGCACACTGAAGTGCCCAGCAGAGGTCTCAAATGGCAGTGACTTGCTGGCCTGAGACACTCTGCACAGGTGACACCGGAGCATGTGCTGAAGAGAGCAAAGTTCATGGAAGGGAGCTGGAAGAAGCTGAGCCCCAGAATCACCCCCATGTCCCAGGCCAGTGGAGGAATACAGGGCCAAAGAACGGTGGAGTTCTTTTTTTCTCTTTTTATTGGCAAAGTAAATATATTTTTTTATGAAGGACCAAAGAAAATATACATAATTGTAACATATGTACACCAACTTTATAGAATTTTTTAAATTTCAAATTTACACAAATGTCAACGTGTTATTAAAAGATATTTTATGTCGATGCGTACCTATGTACAGTTTATTTACATACATTCATAGGATGTGAAATAGAACTGTCAAAACAAGCTAGTTCAATTGGTACTGATTTCTAGACCTGATGAGGAATGCAAATCTAAGTCAGACTGGGAGGCGCTAGCTAGTTGCTTTGCATCCACCAGACCTGTTCCCTTCTCCTCCCACTGCAACTAGGAGGCTGGTGTCTGGAGGAGGGGGAGCCAGGCTGAGTACGGATGGATATGGCTCCATTTGTCTTGCATTTAAGCACATGCATTACGGCCTAGAGCCAGGGTGGCCATTCTCCTGGACACTCAAAGGCCTCTTGCATATGGCAGTCCTCATACCACTGTGCAGCCCTACGCTTTTGACCTACTTCCTTTTTCCCAGCATGGCTTCCTCTGGGAGCTATTTCAACACAGCCAAAATCTTCCCCAGCAATAATGTTGGCTTTGGCCCAGGTAGGGAGCCCAACGGGAGAAGGGCAAGGGCCCCCCCAAACACTACTTCCAGCTGGCAGGAAGGCACAAAGGCACAAGGGCACAGGCCTGCCTGGGCCACCTGGGCCACCGGGGAACCAGCCCCCAGGGACCTTGGGGATTCTAGGTCCTCCCCAGAAAGGCAGCCATGATGGCTCTGGGTCATACCTCCTAAGATTCAGAAGGAGGGGCTGGTAATACTGTCACATCCTTCTGAAAGAGGCAATAAGTTATTGCATTTAAAAACAAAACGTGGAGCTGGGGGAGGGTAGGGAGGCCACTGTGCTCAGTTGATGGCGCGCACTGCACGGCTGCTTCGTGGGAAGCGATGCACCTTGATGTGTTTGGAGAGGTGGTCACTCCGCGCGAATTTCTTCTCGCACACGGGACACTGGTACGGCTTCACACCCGAGTGAGATCGCCGGTGCCGTGACAACTCATCTGAGCGGGAAAACCTGTGGGACACGGTGGTCAGCCAGGCCATTGTGGGCACTGCCACAAGTGACTTCAAAGCCAGTGGAGGTAGGGGTGGGTTGAGGGGGGGACAGGAGGTGGGAGGGCACCATGGGCCAGGCAAAGCCAGGGTGGATCTTAAGTTCTTAGACCACATCTACAGTCACCTAAGGAGATCTTGGCAAGCCCCAGTGTCCCTGAGACCTCCTTGAGGGCAAGAGTCAAGGACCACAAGGCACACAGGTTTGTTCTCCTGGCCAGGGCCTACTGGTATCTGGCTGTTCCACATGGGAAGGGACCTAAGGCTGTTGGCCACCTGGGTCTCACTCTCCCATAGTCACTCGGTTGTGAAGTCCCTGGGCACTGGGTCACTCCTGCACTAGCACCAGTGGGTCAGCAGTGTTTGGTGCACTGGCCTCATCGTCCCCTGGGAGACATAGCCTGAAAGGCCTGTGAAGACCAGCCAAAGGTGACACAGGCCCAGCAATGGAAGCAGACTCCTCAGACCACAGGAGTGCCTGGCTTCTCTGCTTCTTCTGTTGGCAACAGGGAAGGACCTTGGATTTGTGCCTGCCAGGCTCTGGCACCCTGCAGATCTGGACATGCAGCCTTCTGAGTTGTCCCCAAATACACCTGCATGGTATTCTTAAGCATTTAAATGGCTTCCTGGAACATCCATCTCTCAGCCACTGCAGTCCTAGGAACAGACATCCACAGGACAGGCAGGAACCAGAGCCAGACTAAGATATCCAGGCTGCTTGTCAGTAACTTCTGGGACCTGAGATTTTCTCCATTTGGCTTCTGTTAAGCAACAGGATCACGGGACCTCACTACACCACCACTACATATTTGGGTCTCTGTGTCTCACCTATTCGAACTTTTTCTCCATCCATCTCCTCTATCCCCTCCTCAGGAGCCTGCATCCTACCCTTGACTCTCACAGCACCATCCACCATTTGATTATCTTTCCCTTTGTGGGTGCTGGGGACTCAAAAGCTTGAATGTGGAGACAAGTGTTGCACCACTGAGCGACACCTTCAGACCCATGACATTTAAAAATGAGTCTCAGAATCTTGACGCTCAGCTGTCCATAGACAGTGTTAGCTCCAGGAAAGAGGGTGCACCCCCAGTTCTCGGTACTCAGGAGGAGAACTTATGCAGAGAGGCCTCAGCGGGTACCTCAGGACGAGACAGGATTGTCACGCACTGTTCACACATACACTCCCAGGAACACCCAGGAGCCCCAGGCCTGGCACCCTGTTTCTAGACAGGGGCCACTTGGTGATGCAGAACAGGTGAACAGCAGGTGCATCACACTCCGTTGTCAAAGGCTATGGCCATCTCAGCTCTGAGTCTGTAGTGAGCTACACTGACCTCAGCCTGGGAAACAGGAGAAGAACAGTGGTACCAAGAGCAGGCACCACGGCTCAGGACCCCAAGAACCTCAGTCTTCCGTGCTGCTGACAGAGCAGGTCGAGCTACTGTGTAAGCCCCTGCCCTGCAATCCCTTCCTAGGCACCAGGGGACCTGGCGCAGAGCTGTGAACTGAGAACACCTGAGGCCAGAACAAGACCTCCTCCCCTTGCCTGGTAGTACTGATACCAGGACCCTGTACCATAGTCACATGCCTCAAGCAGGAGTTGGACACACACCTACACTCAAGGAAGAACAGGCTTCACAGTCTCTACCCCAATGGTCCTGAGCATCCTGGGTCTGAGCTTCCTCCCTCACTTCCTGCTTGCCTTCCAGGGAATGGGTAGCAGTCCTCTTGTTATATGACACCCTGAGAGGGACAGGCAGCTGAGAGGCAGCCATGCCAGAGAACAAGCTGTCCTCATTCCAGAGCCCCTCTCTGCCATTACAGCCTCTTGGTACCTGACAAGACTGTCCTTGTAACTGGGTAGATGACCCCTGCCTCACTGGGCCACATCCTTTGATAACAGCAAAAGGAGAAACCTGAGGCAACACTGGAGCAAGAGATGAGAAATCCTGGCTAAGCAAGACACAGTCTTGGGATTGGTCTGGGTGAGTTGACAAGCTTGTTAAACCTCAGTTTCCCTGCCCTGAGACAGAAACGACAGACCTATCTCAGAGGACCATGGCAATGAGGCTCCAGATGTGACAACTGTTTAAGAACTGTGAGCTCCTACTGAAGGCACAGGGTGGAGCGCAGGGCCTGCCTGATACATGGCAAAGACTTGCTGCCTGGCATCTGTGGGGCAGACTCCTGACTCCTGCTACTGGGTTACAGAGCAGAGCAAGCGCAGGGGCAACCAGTAATGCCAGCATGAGAGCTGTGTGAGACACCAGTTGCCATCTGTCACAAAGCCATTGTTAACAGCCAAATCTCAGAAGCTGCAGGCCCTAAGGCTGTGTGTGCAGTGTGCAACCTGCAGATAGTACACGGAGTGTCTGCTAACCGCAAGGCCAGAGGACACATCCCTGCTTATGAGCAGCAGTAACGAGGGCTAAAAACGCTGGCCTGAAACCAGACCACTAAGTTTGAATCCTGTGTCCAGCTCCTCCAACAGTGGCTTTGGAGTCCACTGTCTCCCTCTGGGCCTCCTGTGTCCACCATGGACATCGGCAGAACATGCCACACAGGCTGCTGACAGCTATTAATATTCTCTTTAGCTGTGGCCAGTGAGATTCTTTCTGGAAGGAGCGGCTTGGCCACTCTGGAACAGGATGTTCCACTGCAGGGAACAAAGGAGCCTATGTCTGCGAGGGAGAGAGGAAACTTCTAGGAAGGCGGCAAACAGCCACTTCTCAGATGGCTAGACCAGAACAAGCAGGCTGCCTTTAGTTCTTCCTGCATGCAAAACTATGACCCAACAGGGAGAGAGAGATAGGGAATCTTGGGTGTGCAAAAGCAAACAGCAGTGGGCTTTGGACTGGGACAGGTGCCACCTCAGCTGTGGAGCAGTCCCCTGGGCTGAGGAGTGGGGGCAGGGCAGGGGCTCGGGCAAATTTAGGAACTTGGGCCCAGGGCCAGCATCAGAGCCAGATGGGAAGCACAGAACATCCTGGACCAGCCAGGCCCAGCTGCAGGTGGAGGAGGGGCCTCTTCTCAGAGGCTCTAGCAGGGAGGTGTCCAGGAGTGTGGAGAAGTACTGAGTCCAGGGTGAGGGAGGGAGCAAACAGCTGTTAAACTCCTCACTCTGGCACTTTTCCCACCCCGAGACAGGATTTCTCTGTGTAGCCCTGAATGTCTTGGAACTCATTCTGTACCAGGCTAGCCTCAAACTCAGAGATCCTCCTGCCTCTGCCTTAGAGTGCTGGGATTAAAGGCATGTGCCACCCCCACCTCCACCCCCACCTTGCAACTCTGCCACTTTTAAGTTGCATGACCACAGAGAATGTGCTTAAGTGCTGTTTCCTCCTCTGGGCTCACCTTATAGTCTAATTTTAAGAGTTAAAGGGACTAACACACAGCACGCTCAGAGCTCAGAGCAGTGCCTTGTCAGGACTATTACCACCATGCTGGCTGCTGCTATCTCCTTTCCCCCAGCCAGGAGCACAGTAGGAAAAGGCACAGCCCAGGGGCTGAGGACGAGGCCCATTTGATAAAGTGCTTACTGTGCAAACGTTAGGAAGGACCCGAGTTTAGGTCCCTGGCACTCACATAAAAACTGGACATAGTAGGGTCTGCCTGGAATATCAGGGCTGGCAGGGCAAGGAAGGCTATCAGGGCTGGCAGGGCAAGGAAGGCTAGAGCTCACTGGCCAGCAGCTTAGCCAACCATGAGCTCTAGGTTCAGTGAGAGACTATCTCAAAAAGCAAGGTGGAGAGCTACTGAGGAAGACACATGACAAGCAGCTCTGGCCATCATGTACAAGCGTACCGAACACAGGAGTGCACGCGCACACACACACACAGACACACACACATACACACACCAAAAAAGCACAGCAATGGTCACTTCCATACCTGGCTGTACTGTTGTAGAATCAGTGGGGTGTGGCACTCACAGGGATGCACGTGAACCCCCAAAACACACTCATTAGGCACATCCCCATGGCAGATGTTTGTTCTGAACCTCAATTTCCCTCTGTAGAGTCCTTGTGAGGGTGCAATGAATTAATGCCTGCATTGGGGGTGCACAGCAAAGGCTGAGCCATCATAGCATCCCTGGGCCCCTTGGGGTGGGAAGAGAGAGGGGCACGGAAGATCTTGCTTGAGAAAGGGGGAAGGCCAGGGAGCATGTCGGGGAGTGTGGGGGCCAGAGCAGAAGGCTAGACTGGGACCCGAACACTCCAAGGTGCTCTCTGCATTTAGAGGCTAGATTAGTCCCAGGGAGTAATGGGCTCCCGCAGAAGGGCGTACACAAGTGAAGGGGTTGGTGGGGACTCTCCGAAGCTTAGAATCATTCCAGCACACAGTGACCCCTAAGTGTGACCTGTCACCACCACCATCTTCATTGTCATCTCATCTGTCCTGGTCAGATCCAGAGTGTGTGGGGTCCACCCTTCCTCCTAACTGCAGCAAGAAATTACTGCTCATCCCACAGCCTCTGGGTGGAAGACTGGCCACACGCAGGGAACTGTATACCTTCTATGCACAACCCCTAGGCTTCTGATACCCAAGAAGATCCTAAGGATCTCACACACTCACACAACCAGCCCTCTCTTGAGGCAGATGCTGCACGGGGACCTTGATAGGCATACCATGTCCCCAGTCTTGCTGAGTGGGTTCTGCCTGGACAATGAATCCAGTGCAAGGCTCAGGGTCAGAGCTAAGGCTGCCCTTGGACACCCTGTGCTTCCTGGGACAGCAGTGTGGTGGGCAATGACCTATCTCCCAGCCTGGATCCTTGACCACACAGCCTGCAGCTCCTGCCTGGCCCCATGCCCTCTGGAGATGCCACTTAAATGGGCAGCACCGGTCAGAGTACAGGGCAAGCAAGCCTTGGAGTCAGGACTGTCGGGTAAGGGTACTCAGTGGCTTGCCCATGAGCAGTCCCTGTGAGTGTGAACACCTGCCAGTGTCCCAGGAAGGACACCTTTGGGGTTCCTCTTCAGTTTGACTGTGGTATAGTAGAAGTTCACTTCATGAAAAGAGGGCACAGTGAGACCCCCACACTAGCTCAGGGCTCCAGGAAACAAAAAGGGTCAGACAGAAAACCATGATCCCAGGGTGTGTTCAGGGCCCCGTCCCACTGCCTCCTCCAAACAGAGTCCGTTGCTCTCCCCATCCTCAGTAAATGCCCCTCCCTTGGGCCTCTCTGTCTGGGCTCCTCTTGCTCTACAACCAACCCACTTACTACCCCACAGCCCTGCACCGGATCTACTCACTAAAACATGTAGCTCAGAGAGGTGGAGACAGCAGGTCTAGGGAGCCCAGCATTTGAAAAGTTGTGAGAAGACAATGATGCCTCTCAGGAAGGGCTTCCATACTCCAAGACACTGTCGGGGGGGAAAAGTTCCTTATCTGACCAATCTGGAGGCAGAAGGGAAGTTATGCCACTGTCATCCCCTCCAAGTTTAGTCTCAGCAGGGCAGCACCTGCCCTGGGGCTAGCACCATCAACTCAGAACCAAAGGCTGGCTCACAACTCCACCTCTGTGACCTGGTGTGACCCGCACCAGGTACAAGACACATATGATCACACAATCCATAAGCAGGTGTGCCCATACAATGCAAGCATCCGTTCAGGTGGTCTAGCTCTGTTAGTCCTTAGCACACAGATGAACCACATCAGACTGGCAGACAGACACATGCATACACCAACACTGCTGGTACACACCCTAGCTACCAAGGCCAGAGCACCCTCTACCTGGCCATATCACTCTAAGTATGCAGGCCACCAGCCTCCTGAAGATACTGAACAGCAGTCAAAGCAGGGTGACTTCAGGGTTCCATGGTCCCTGGCATCACATCTGACCATCTGAGGCTCCTTGCCCTGAAGAGCTGAGAACCCTGTTGTCTGGAACACAAGTCAGAGGAATTCTGCCACCTTTGACCTCATATCACAGCCATCAGTCCTTCCTTCTGGTTGTTCTCTATCTATGGCTTTCCAAACACACCTCCAGGTCCCCAGGAAGAAACAAGGCAAAGCTTACCCCACACTTGTGAGCAGTTTTCATTCCTGACTGGAGGTATTTTCTAGTTCAAGTCTTGGGGCTCACATTCCACTCAGAGTGCTGTGGCCTTGGTGGTTCTTAGCCAGAGTTTCCATGTACCTGACCCAAAATGTCATAGGAGTGATGGTGGTACTTACCTGGAGGTAAGGCCTGCATGGGCCTCTGGTTTGTGTCCCTTTGCCACCAAACTCATCTGCCCCTTAGCTGAGTTTCCCTCAACTTCAGCTCAGCCCCTCATCTTCCTTCCATGCCAGCTTGAGAGATCCCACCTAGCACAAGACTTACCTGGTCTTTAGAGAGACCAGAGACCAGGTGGCTTCCAGCTTTCGTCTCCAAGCGGGACAACAACTGTGCCATCTCTGATCCTGCCCCCTGCCCGCCCCTTGCTCTTTTCCTAATCCACCTCATTTAATAGAGAAAGGGGCTTTGTCACATACTCAGGTGAGCAGAGATGAGCCTACTTGTTTGCGCCCAGCCTGTCCAAAAATACTGACCTCCAGCCGCAGCCCGGCCAGGTGCAGGCAAAGGGCTTCTCGCCTGTGTGCCGGCGCAGGTGGGCCTTGAGGTGGCTGCTCTTGGTGTACATCTTGCTGCATCCTGGGAAAGTGCATTTGTGCATTTTGAGAAGTTCTGCTGCTGGGTTCTTGGGGAACTTCTGGCCCACAAGGAGGCCAGCAGAGCCGGGCCCTAGGGATCCTGAGCCAATAGGTTTGGCGGCAATGGGCACAGGCGCAATTCGCACAAACTTTGAGGGCAGGTTCAAGTTGGAGGATGGTACCACTTGAGGCAGGAGTGCAAAGGTCTGTCCCTGGATGTTGACCAGAAGCTGGGCGACCTTGACGCTCTCTGGGGCCTGCCCTGGGGAGGCTGGCCCTGTACCTGCCTCCTGCTTCACAGCCACAGGCTGGATCTGCAGTAGCACCGGCATGGGGCCATCATGTGCTGGCCCCTCAGCTGCACCTTGGGTACCACCCCCACTGGTTCCACCTGGTGGTGGGGTACAGCGCTCTCTCCCACCAGACTCTGGATGGAGGTGGCTCCGGTGTGACCCAGCTGAGAGCTGGCTACAGGCCTCCAGGTCCCTGCTGCCGTTCTCTGGGGCCTCCTTGACCTCAGCCTCCATGTTCTCTTCCAAGAATTCTTCAATCTCCTCCAGGGTAGGCTGGAATGGCCTGGAGACATCTTCAGGGTCCCCTGACAGAAATTCAGGGAAGCAAAAATGCTCTTCCTTCACAGGCACAGAGGCTCTCCTCCATGATCCCCAGGTCACAGGGCCACTGCTATCTCCAGCGCCTCCACTGCCACCACCACTGCCCAGTGTGGCCCGGGACAGGAGGAAATCCAAGATACTGCCCTGGGCCTCAGGGCCCGAACCTGCACTGTAGCAGGAACAGAAGGCTTGTGAGTCAGGGCTGGCACAAGAGCAGGGGCTGGAGACATCGCTGTCATCCTCAGAGATGGGCGACGGCAACATGTGGTATGGCTGCCGGCTGGCCAGCCTTTCTCCCAGGTAACCCACTGGGCATTTCGGTGACGAGAAGGTCTCGTCCACTGGAAGCAAGTGGTCCACCATGCTGGCCTGGCCGAGCCTGTGGTGACTGCAGAGAGGGAGCAAGGGAGGCCAGGTTAGAAGGACTGCATGCTGACCAGTGCCTTGCGGCCCCCACCCTCGGCTGCCTGCCCAAGGCCTCCTGTGGCCAAATGTCCAGATCCTGCTTCCATCCCAAGGGAGAATGGGGCCGGCGAATATGTTTTCAAAAGTTGCATCACCCTATTTGCAAAAGAGCCCTCCCTCTCCAGGCCCCGTTGCACAACCCAGGGCACTTCTGGTTTCAAACATTTTCCAGAATGATCCTGGAAAAGAATAAGACAAGGAATGCTCTTGTCTGAACAGCTGAGGCCGTGGGGAGAGGGGGCCAGAGAGGGGAGGTCCTGAAAGTCTCAAGACCCTGGGCTCTGCTCCCTACCTTGAGTCAGAGACGGGGTGAGAAGGAAAAGGGCCATTTGCACTCTGAGCCCGTGCTCTTTGGGCTTCTGAAGGGCTTCCAGATTCAGCAAATAAAAACAGGCTGCTTGTTAGAGGTTCACTTCAGATGTTCAAAAATGAACTTTGTGAATGCAAGCATGGTGTCCCCAGGATTGAATGGGACACGCATCTGTTGGGGCTGCCTGTGCTTTAACCTGGTAGCTATACTTTAGAAAAAGGCCATTAAGTACCTGCCTGCCTGCATGATGTTTCTCCACAGTCTGGTCCTCAGACCTTTTGAGAGTCACCGTTCTCCATGACTGGGAGAAGTATCACATATTTGAGCAAAAAGCTCCGTCTATGGTGCCTAACACCTTCCTGCCATAATGAACAGGGTCCAGCCCCTGGCTATGAGTCCATAGAAGATCTGAGAGCCCAGGCCTGGGTAACTTCCTTGAACCTCAAAGCCTTTGGGTAGGATGGGGGATGATATTTGCCCTTGGACAATGCGTGAGAGCGGAGCCTCCTGTTCTGCCCCTGACCCAGTCTGGGACACTCACCGACTTGCGAAGGCTCAGCAGATGCCTGTGTCCCTTCTTGGCAGCACACTCTCCTGGGTCCCAAGTACTCAGCACCGTACCAGGTCTCCCAGAGGGGCTCAGAGAGTGGGGATAGGAAGGAGAAGGGAAAGCTGTGTCCTCTGAAGCCAAAGGCCATACTAGGTCTGGTGTCCAAGAAGAGTCAACAGTATCTGGCTGTGATGGGGCCACCTCTCTGGACCTTTGTCCTGCCCAGTGACCATGGCTGACTGTGTGATTATCAAACTGAGGAGGAGGATGCTCAGGCTGCATCCTGTCCACCTGACTTTAGGTCCACTCCACAGTGTGGCACCTGGTACTGCCCAGCAGCTGAAAGGCCAGTCATCCCACTACTCCATGCCTCAGTTTCCCCAACTATTCTATGCTCTTTAAGTTTCTCTACTGCTGTGGAGAATAGAGGCAAGATCTGAGCCCAAATGTAATCTTACCAAGAGGCAATCTGAGTTTAAATTTTCAGCTAAGGATTTAAAACTGGTGATGCATTTTAAAATACACACTCTTTACCAAAGCAGGGTCTGGGAAGGAATAAAGCACCAGACAACATGAAGGGCAAAGCGGCTGGACAGAGCCCACCCACTCTATTCTCCCAACCCTGCCTCATCCACTCTACTAGCACACAGACACCTTGTCTGCAGCTATAGCTGTGCGACCTCAGGCAAGCGGTACAACTTCTCTGTGTACACATCTGGGTGCTGCCAGTGTGACCTGGCTCCTAGATTATACGTATACTCAACGAACTCATGTATACTGAGCATCTGAACAGTCACACAGATGTAAGGCATATGGTGTCCCAGGACCCAGACAGGACCGCCTAAGATCTCCTGAAATGAAGTATGACCAGAGCTGGACCACAACACTCTTTCGAAGGGGACCATGGTATCGAGGCTTCACTTTTAAAATGATAGAGACTGAGGTCTGATATGAAAGTGAACAGCGGTGTTGGGTGGGCATAGTGGCTCATGCCTATAATCTTGGGCACTCAGGAGGGTGAGGCCATAGGGTCATAAATTCAAAGGCAACCATGTGAGATTCCCACTGAAACATGGAAGGAGGAAGGGAGAGAACAGGTACAAAAGTACGATGCCAAAATAGAATTACATCAGAAGGAACCCCTCCCCCCAAAATGTTTCAGATTCCTCCAGGCCTCAGAGCACTAGGATCCTGCCCACCCCCAACCTGCCCCCCAGCTGCTCCAGGCCAGGCTCACCGGCACTAAGGAGCCTGGGCTTTGGCTCCAAGGTCCCCATCTGTGGAAGTCCTGCCTCTCTTAGCATTCCAGATGGGAGCTCATTATTTAAATCTCAACTCAGAAGCCACTCCCCCCTTGGACAAACCACTCAGGATTAAATTCTTCACAGCTAGGTATCACTGTGAAAACTGTCTTGTATGCTTTGCTGCCCCACCAGAATACAAGCCGTCCTGACGTCCTGACTGTTCACTAAAGTGCTAGATCTAGAGTCAAAGCCTTCGCTGAGTGATTCCAGAATCCAGGAGTAAATGCAGGAACGGAGTGGCCCTAACCAGTTAACAGGATCTTAAAACAGTGCTGAGCAACCCTGGGGACACTGAGGTACTGAGGGCCCAGGGGATCCAGGACTTCCTGGACCCAGGGCTTGAAAGCCTGAGTGCCAGCGCTCAAGCCGGTCCATGAAAAACAGCAGCACGTGGCGCAGCCAGAGGCGCAGGCTGCGTGCAGGGGGAGGGGGCACCCTGTTCTGGGCACCGTCCCCGGCAGGCCGCTGGACTCCGCCCCCTCTCTTAGCCGGCCAGGCCTGCTGTTTATCCTCCCGGGGACACAGCGGCTGTAGGAACAACATGTAATTGATAACAAGCCGAGAGCCGGCCAAGGGCTAGCCATTGGGTCAGCGTGCAAATCACGGGGGTGGTGAGTGGGGGCCAGTCTTCAAAATAAGAGTCTCCTCCCGGAGGAGTCCGAAAGCCCCAAAGTTACTGCCATTCTCGCACCTGTAGGACAGCGTTGGCTCCCCACAGTCGGGGGAAACGTCTGAAGGACTCAGTCAAACGTTTGGGATTTCACCTTCCCATATGGTGGTAGCAAATAGCCCCCGTGTCCTCCAGGCGAGAAGGTTTCCAAAAGGGGTGGCCTGCCCCCTGAGGCTGCTACCCTCTGCCGTCCCTCCAGTAATGTTTGATCACAGGGGCCTGAGGACTCTGCGTGGGGAACCGGAACATAAGCATAGGAACGCTGCGGGTACGCGCAAATGGGTGTGAGTTTGTGTCGTGTGACTGCGTGTGCTGGGCGCAGTGCAGTCGTGCGGGTGTCCGCCAGGTGCCCGCGCGTGGGTGCCCACCCGTGGGTGGGAAGTACGTGGGAAGGAGGTGGCTCGGACTCTGGCGCACAGCTTCGGAGAGTACCTTACCCTCCGCCCAGTGACCCCCTTCGTGTCCCCTCTTAGGCCACCGCTGCAGTGACCGACAGTAACCTCTCCGCCCCTTGGTCGCCAGGCCCCGCCAGGCGCCACCATATGGGAGCGCAGGTCCAGGAGTGCCACGGACGCGCGTGGGCTCCGCAGGCAGGAGCTGAGCTCACCGGATTTGCCCTTTGCAGGCCCAGCGCGCTCATGGAGGTCCCCGCATTTCCGGGGTCCCCGCATTTCCCGGGTCCCCGCGCGTGGTTCGGACAGCGCGTGCCAGGGGACCGCCCGTGATCCCCCGGGAGGACCCACGCGGCCGCGCTACATCGCGCGTCTCCCACCTGGACTCGGCGTCGCCTGGCGCGGCCTCGCGCGTGCGGCCCGGCTCCGTACGCGGCCGCGCGTCCAGCGCTCCTGGCCGCAGCCCGCACTCCCTGCGGCCGAGCTGGGCGCTCGCCGCTCGCCGCTCTCCCCGCTCTCCGGCCGCTCACGTGACGCCGCGGGCGCCGCGAAGGCTCGCAGGAGGCTCGGCCTCGGGCGCGCGCCCCATTGGCTAGCGCCGCGCGTCACGCGCCCCGCCCCGCCTCGGCCGCACCCTCCTGCTGCCCACGCGCTCTCCGGCCTCTTCGTGGACCTGCGCTGGGTCCTCCGGTGCGCACGTGAGACGGGATCCAGAACCCACTGAAAGCCCGCAGAGTCCCGAAGTGCAGACCGTGGGGGACCTCAGGAGCGGAATCGTCCCCGCAGCCCCCTCCGCATTCCCAACAAGGCCCGATCTAGTAGGAACCGTGTCTAAAGGGACCAATTGTAAAATACATCTGGTCTTTCCTCCAGCGGTCATGGTTACTCACCGGAATGAGCACTCACTGCGCTACCCTCGACCTCTGCGACTGACAGACTGCAGAGACTTGCTGACCACCACCTTAAGCCAGTGACACTGCAGGCACCTCCCCAAAGACTGCAGGGTGCTCCCGATCTGCAGAGGGAGTTCCAGACTTCAGTCCCAAGCCATCATGGACACCTTTTGCACCGGTTTAATGAAGAAAGCGAAGCCCGAGAAAACACGTGAGCGGAGAGTGCTGGGTACCCTGCTGTGTGCACTTTAGCCCACACTATGCCTGGCTCCCCAGCCAGCATGGAAAAAAAAAACCGCTGAGAGCGAGCATGGGCCTTCCTAGCCACACACAGAGAGGGTCAGGCACAGCCAGGTCTGTCTGTCTTTCTCCTGCTTCTTAATAAACACCCAGGACATTTGGACAGATCTTTCTGCACAGCACTTCCTACCTGGCAGTCTTTCCCTCCTGCTTCCCCCAGCTGTCCCTGCTATGGCCAGGATTTGTAGCCAGTGGGTCTGGGCCCGCTTAAATAAGGATCTGAGGACTCTCCAGATGAGTGCCCAGGACCCAGCAGTTAAACTGAGTCTTAGCCAGAGCATTGAGGGAGTCTGTGCTTAGCACAAGATGGTCATCGACTTTCTGATCGTAGGCTCACGGTATGCAGCCAGGGTTAGCAGGCAGAGCGGGTGGAGTTGGCTAGTCCATAAAGTTGATTGATCATATCTTGTCAAGGCAGGGCAGGGTTAGTTTGGGCCGGCACACTTCTCCACAGCCTTGCCTACCCTGGGCTCTGCATTCCTCACACTCTCTGTCCAATGTCTCCCACCCCTAGGGAGAAATGCAGCCAAAGGTCAGAAGTCTGACAGCACCAGTGTAGCAGAGCCTCCCCCGTCCACAGGCAAGATGCCCCAGCTGTCTAGAAGCCCATGGCCAGTCTAGGGCAGTCAGCCTAAATCTGAATCATATTAGACATCTTTGCATTAGAACCTTCCCTGGGTTCCCCACTCACTCACAGAAGTATATATAATGCCATTTTCTCAGTCCCCCTCAGTCTCTTTGGGGGTCCCTTTTATTCCATGACCTCTTCTTGCTCAGGTTAACTTGCCAGGCACAAGCTCAGGACCTTTGTACATGCTGTTCCTTTTGCCTGGATATGGTTCCTTTCCCAACATTCACATGCCTCCCTCCTTCAGGTTTTATTGAAGTGGCACTTTCAAGGGAGCCTGCATTTGCTCCCTGCCCCCTGCTGCCCCCTCCCCATTTTCCTATCCAGTTTAACAGTTCTGGATACTTACTATTTTCAATTTATTAAAAGTTTGTCTTTTATTCTGTAAACTGTTGTCTCCTATAGAGAATGTAAGCAGCAAAGACAGACATTTCTGTGTATTCACAGCCCAGGATGAGAATTTGCATCTCTAGCACCATGTAAAGGCCAGGTAGGTCTCGAAGCTGTCTGTAATTTTAAGACACAGAGGGCAGAGGCAGGATTCCTACAGCAAGCTGTCTGCTAGACTAGCTGGAATCTGTGATCTCTGGGTTTTGTAAGAGACCTTGCCTCGATGAATATAGTGGAGAGAGATGGGGAAAGTCACCAAATGTTAGCTTCAGGGCTCCACGTGCACAAATCCACATGTGATGTGTGCCCACACATATAAACATGCCTAATCACACCATACATACAGAAAAGAAATTAGACTTCCAGGGGACTTACTCCCTAAATAGGAGATAGTTGGTTCCTGAGAAAAGCAGAACAATTTTCTTGTAAGAGGCATAAAAACTCCCACAGAGCCTTCCAGAGTTTGCTTTCATATCTGCTAGGCTCCCTATCTGCTTCCTTCACCAGCAGTGTCTGATCTTCCATCCATTCTCAGACAGCAGTCAAACAAATCCCAAGCCAGCATTAGCTCCCACCACAGCCTAGATACCTCTGCATGTCCATCAGTCTAGGGCCAGGAGCAGGGGCAGTGCAAGGCATTCCTGTTGACTGAGGGAAGAGGGCACAGGATCCTGACCACCTGAAGGCTCCCATGAGCAGTGGCATACTCATTTCCCACCAGCTATGTGGAAAAACAATCCAGTGTAGAAGGAAGGACGTATGTGCTGATTTTCAGAGTCATAGCTAGGCACCAGGGTGTCAGACTTGCAAGGCAGGCTCTTCCCAGTGCTACATTTCCACTCTTACTAGGGAGGAGGAAAAGAAAACCAGGTGGTAGGTGTAAGCCCCTTGAGGTACAAGTGGCTAGGCCTGGACCCCCCAGACTTCTCTAAGGGTCTCTAAGACCCTTCTAAGGCTGGTGGCTAGCATTTCCAGTTCCTTGAGGTGGGAAGAGAGGACAGGCCCCACCCTATGGAATAAAAATGCCCAAGGTCAGGCCACAATGCCTCTAATCCCAGGCCACCCTAGAAAGTGTCACGCCCTAGAAACACTATATAAAGCCTGCCTCCTGTTCAGTTCTTTGCTGCTTCTTTCTCACCCAGGCAGAAGTAGCTACTCTCTTGTGTCTTTCACCCTTAAAAATCTGTTGTGTGAGGTTCGTTGTGTGGCGTGACTTTGTGGTATTCCAAAGCTTCCAACTCTCAGGATACCTTTCCCCTTACAGCTGTAGTGTGTATTGGGGAAACCTTTCCCCTTGGAGCTGTTACACAGTAGAAACTCTTCAAGGATCGCCCCCAGTGGGGCAGAGACATCAGCAGCAGAGACATCCTAGAAACAGCCATATATTCAAAGAAATGCCTGCATTGAATGCCTAGTCTTTGGGACCCTTTTAAACTTATAGAACAATCTTTTGGTACTGGAGGGATTTATCTTTCTGTAAATTTGCAGGGCTTTGTTGTTTGTTTGTTTGTTTGTTTGTTTGTTTTGTTTGAAACAAGGTATTGCTGTGGATCCCAGGCTGGTCTTGAACTCACAATCTTCCTAGCTCAGCCTTCCAGAGTGCTCAAACCACACCAGGGCCTAATTGTGTTCTCATTTTTTAAAGCTGAATTTTTAAAAAAAGATTTATTGCCAGGCGGTGGTGGCACACGCCTTTAATCCCAGCACTTGGGAGGCAGAGGCAGGCGGATTTCTGAGTTCGAGGCCAGCCTGGTCTACAGAGTGAGTTCCAAGACAGCTAGGACTACACAGAGACTACAGAACTACCCTGTCTCGAAGATTTATTATATTTACTTATGTGTATGAGTGTTCTGTATGTACACCACACATATGTAGTGCTGGAAAAGGGTGTCAGATCCCTGGAACTGAAGTTACAGATGGTTGGGAAGTGGGTGCTGGGAATTGAACCTATATCCTATGCAAGAGTAGCCTATGCTTTTAAACTCTGAGCCATCTCTCTAGCCTTATGTATTTTAATTTTAAATACCCTTCTAATAAAAAGACTTACACTGCTTTTTAAAAGAAATAAAATGGATATAAATATTATTTGAATGTCATCTGGCTTTGCCTGTAAAACCGTCTGGTACTGGCTCCTTTGGGGGTGGGGTGTTGATATTTTTTCTACCAGATGTCACATATTTAATCAAGATACATTTGATTTTAGATTCCTTCTCTCTTTTTTATTCCTGCTTTGGAATTGCTGCAACCTCCCTCCCCTTAACAGTTGCTATTGAATCTGGGGCATCATACATTTAAGGTAAGCATGTACTACTGAGCCCCAGCTTCAGAGGTACCCGAGAAACAGAAGTCTTACTCATTGTTGGGGGATATTCTTCTATTATTTCCCTCTTTGCTGAGATATGTTCATGGGTGGATCCCTCCTGTTCAGACCTCTACTCAAGTGTCCCTTTAGCTCATGGCTTCCTCTGTCACCTGGTCTGAAACCGTGTCTGAGCTGCTCTCTGATCTCTGGCCTTGGTTCATTTTATTTCACAGTTCTGTTTTTATTTTTATTTTTTACTCATGTATTATTGTCTATCTCTCCCACAAGCCAACGAGCTCGTTGAGATCATGGATTTGGACCAGAGCTAGAGATCTTGCCTACCTTGTACTAGGGCCTGGGTTTGCTCTCCCAGCGCAGCACATGCGTGCGCACACATATGCATAGATTATAAAATAAAGGATGTGTATCGTGTATTGGCATTCTCTCAGTTAACTTAGCTTCATCTCCTCTCCCATGCACGTGACCCAGCTCCAGATGCACCCCAAGACCTGCAGCACCCCGGCTGCTGGCAATGAGGCTCCCGTCCTGCTGGCATCCCAGCAAGCTTCTTCCCACAGAGGCAGACTCTGAAGCAATGCAGGTGGGTTCAGCAAGAGTCCCGTAGGGTGCTGCTGGGGCTTGCCTTGTGTGGGATGTCTGCTTCCCTGGCAGCTGGCTTACTTACAGCATGAACAAGCATGATGCTACAAGTCTAGGACGAGACATAACAGGGACAGCTTCCCGAGACCTTCCTCCTTGGCTTGATTGAACACATGAGCCCCAGCCTCAGAGGTAAGCAAAACCAGAAGTCTTTCTCATTGTCTCCTGGATAGCCAGTCTTCCTTGTGTGTGTCTGCGTCCTGGCCTCTTCTCGTAAGAATTCCATCCCAACGACTTCATCTCGATTTAACTCCATCTTTGAAGGCTCTGTCTGCAGAACACAGGCTTTCTGAAGGACTGGGGTTTAGCACTGTGACATAAGTACTTGGAGAAACACCATTCAGCCCATGACCCTTGGGTGCCTTGGGTAAACAGCCATCCTAGAGCGGTCTCATTTGGAGCCATTTTCAGTAACCCCCATCCAGTTACTCAGGAGAGGTTGAGGCCACATTGCACCCTGACAGTCCCCACCCTCACATGGCCCACGTGAGTTGGCAGCCCAAGGGTCCTGCTGGCTGGAAGCTCTTGGCCCACAGCCACAAAACAAGCCCCAGTTCAAGTTACCCTGGTTTTCAAGGTTGTGCTCAGTTGCATCCTTGCCTAGTGGCCTCTTGCTCCCACTTGTCCCACCTCAAGGAGGGCAGTTGACATGTATGGCAAAGGAAGGGTCTGGGTAGCCTGCCTCATTTCAAGACCTGCTCCTGGGTCTTAGGTGTGTGATTCTAGGCAAGTTGTGTTCATTCCTATCTGAAAATGAGGATGCTTCTGAGGTGTATGGGCCATGGAGGTGACTCATTCCAATCCCCTGTGCAGAAGGCTGGCGAAGTATTGCCAATCAGAGCCTTAGGTGTCCCCCCACCTCTGGGTCCCACACAGCCTCCCTTGCATGGCTCTTCTGGCTTCCCAGCTGGGAACAGAGCTTGGGTGCTGCTTGACTGATACTGCTGAGTGTAGGAATATCACACAACAAATGGAGCTGTGATGCTGGGGCTCCTGCTCAACACTCTGCAGTCTTCAGTGAGGGGCATCCTGGCCCGGGACAGTTTCTGTTACAGTTCCTCCCTGCTGTGTCTCCCAGACACTGCCTCTGTAAACCCCTCCAAGTCCTTCCCTTGGGGCATCTGCTTCTGAGGTCATCTGTCACTCATGTGCATACACTTGCTGACATCATCTTGTGCTTGATAAATGACCAATTATCATGTCAAATAAAAATAAAATATATGCTGAAAAAATAGGTTTACCAATAAGTTACTGAGTCTACTTCTATAGGCAACAAGATTATAAAGATTTATTTTGATTTTACATTTATGAGTGTTTTACTTGCACGTATGTTTATGCACCAGGAGCATGTGGTGCTCACAGAGGCTGGAAATGGTCATCAGATCCCCTGAAACTGGAGTTTACAGATGTTGTGAGCCTCCATGTGGGTGCTGAGAATTGAATCCAAGTTCTCTGCAGAAGGCTTAAGGGCCTGGAGCGTGCTCTACTTCCTCCGACTGCAGGCCTTTTGCACCTCTGCTTTCCTTCTTCGCCTCTACATTCCTTAGGTCAGAGTTCACAGGTTTCCCCAATCTCCTGTATAACCGGTACCTCTCTAAGCATTTCTCAAGGTCTGTAACGATCCGTTAATTAGTGTGTTCATTAATTAATGCTTGTCTCCCATAGTGAGCATTGCCAATTTTGCTCATTCTTCTTTTCCAAGAACTTCTAGTTCTCAGCGGAATGACCCCAGGAAAGACTGTGTCTCTCCATGTCCCCCGTAGCTGGCCAGAGAACCCTGCAGAAGGGAGGCGTGGAAGCTCTGACTCAGCTTCCTCATGCATCTTCCCAATGTCAGGAGGGAGAACCCCCGTGGGCCAGGCAGACAAGGCCGTTATCTGGGGAGGGGAGGCCGGGGTAGAAGAGAGAGAGCTCCCCAGTGCCTCTACCTCACCAGGTGGGCTCTCAGCAGAGGTAGAGACAGACACACTGATATGTTTAAGCCAACATTGCTTTCAGTCTGTGATAAATGATGCTCCTCTACCCGTGGGTCTAGACCTGTTACCCATGACTATTGTTACCAATAGTCTCTGAAGCTTAAGGATTTGACTCGGGATCCTTGGCTTGGGATGGCTTGAGTGGCACCTAGTAGAACTTTGACTTTGGACCATTTCCCAGGCTACAGAACTGCAGTCTGGTTCTCTCTTGGTACTGGGCAGCAGCAGTGATCACAGCTCCCAGTCAACTGCTTGCCACAGTGAGTGCAGGGGGCTAGGTATGAGGTGCTGTGTGCAAGGTGATTTATGCAGGGTGCTATGTACAGGGTCCAGGTACTGTGTATAAGATGCACCAGTACAGGTGCCGCAGGGTGTTGTGTGCAGAGTACTGGGTACAGGTACTGTGTGCTATGCTGCCGAGTGAGGCTGCTCCATATGTTAGGCGTATTTAATGCATGTTCCATGACAGACTCATGGTCTGTCAGGAAGGGATCCTGTGTGTCTGAAGAGTGTTTGCACACAAGGGGCCGCGTCTGTTTCCTACGTTTCACAGCCAATCTTGCAGTGTGGGCTGCACATTGCAGGGCAGTGGTACAGTCAAATGCCCTGCAGGGTGGAGACTCTGGAAAGGTAGAGGATGGGAGCTGAGTGGCCCACTGGGCTGTTCTGGCAGGGCATACAGGAGATACATGGCCCACCCCCAGGTCACTGTCGCAGTATGTCTGTCTGAGGAGGTTGTATGAGTCTCCAGCTGATACAGTAGGTCACACTCCAGGGCACCCATCGTATGCCAGACAAAGGGCCGAGAGCCAACACAGGTGTGTCCTATGTGCCAGCTCTGTCCCAGTGCTTGACAAATTCTGGCTCACTTCTCCCACCCATTGTCTCTAGGAGGTCGGTGCTATCCTATGGCCAGGGGCATAAGAGTCCCTAGGAGAAGCTAGAGCCATCAGGACAGGAGTGAACTGCTGTCTGGGTAAATTGTGACACACCATGAAAATTCAGGGTCTGCCTGAGGACTCACACAGCAATGACATGGAGTTGACAGGAGAAGAATCCTGAGCCCAGGCCTGCTTGACCTACTGGGAAGGAGCTGAAGTTCTGATTAGAGGTGAAGATGGATCCAAATGCCACCCTCCCGAGCTATATCACATGGGCCTCACTTGGTGACAGGGAGTCAAATCTCAGGCTGAAGTTCTGACCCATGGTGTCTAGGTCACCTGCTCTCTAAGCCTATTGGAGCGAAGTGCTGCCATCTTCATCAAATCAGCCGTGCCAGTCTGCAAAAGATCACCACAGTTGGGCTTGTTGCCTCAGAAGGGCTGAGGGTCATGGGACCCTTGCCAGGCAGACCTCCCAGCCAGTGGCCTGGGAAGGGCTGGAGTAAATGAAGGCGGAGAAGGACTGGGGGAGGGTCTCCATCCACATAGCCATTTGGGAATTTATCAGCCCTGATGGACACAGACCTTTAGCATTGAATACACCTAATAGACACCTTTAAGCTGGCTGCTTTAAGGTCACCCATGATCCTGCCTGTAACCTCGTATCCACAGTCTGTAAGGAAGCCAAATAAACTCCTTGAATCTCTGGGCTGGACTTTGGTGCTACCAAATCTACCTCAGCAGATTGTTGAGACCTTAAAAGGGAAGGGTAGATGGTGTTTACCTCTTTGTGGAAAGAATTTTAGCAACATCGATTCACAAAGAGCCAGTGTGGCCCTGTACAGTATTTTGAGGAGGGGACCCTGGGGGCCTGGAGATGGCAGCCCCCCTCCTTACTTCCAGCCCTACACTAGCCACCTCTTCAATCCTAGGGAGAGGCCCTGGTCACTTGACAAGTCCTGAGGGAAATGCTGGCCCAGGTACAGGAGGGACTGGGTGTGCAGGTCTTTCCTCGATCAGAGAGGTTTTAACCTAACTCTTTGTCAAAGAAACACAAAGCAAGGCACTCTAACTAGCTCTTTTAAAATAATGATGCTGGAAAGAGGTTAAACTGGTGTCTCCACAGCCCACCTCTGCTGTGCATGTAACTGCCACAAGTCTATACTCAGGAACCCTCTCAAGAAATGACCAGGTGTTCTGTTGGATTTCCAGCAAATATGTTTCCACCCACCATTTGAGAAATATCAGCAGCTTATCAAAAATAAAATTAAAAGTCAAAACCAACCCATCAACCAAAACCCCAACTGAAAAACAACAAAACACTTCATCATCAATGACGTCACCAAGAACCATCTGTGCAGTAGAATATGACTTGTCACCTCAAAATGGTTTTTGTTTTGTTTCAAAACCATGAGGGTGGAATTTGGGGTCCCATGAATGTTAGGCAGTCACTCATGTGGCTTGAGCCACATCCCCAGTCCTTGTGTGTCAACCTAATTAAAAACTTAAAAAGACAACTTTATGAGGCTTAGAGTGGACAGAAAACATGATCCTGGCTTGAGCTCATCCCTGTAATCTCCACAAGTGGGAGGGGAGGCTGAGGCAGGAGGATTGCTGAGAGCTGAAGGCCAATCTTGATACTATCAAGATCTTGTCTCAAAAGAGAGAAAGAGGGAGGGGGAGGGGAGAGGCAGGAAGAGAAAGAACTGTGACTCAAAACTCAGCAATATAAGTACCAGAGACTCTAACCAATGTTCGCATAGAGCTCTGGGATCCTGACTCATCTTTCTAGTGCCTATAGTCACATTCCAGATTTTTCTATAATGGTCATGCATTAGTTTTATAATCAAAACAAAATAGTTTTACTGGTTTTAAAAATTGTGTAACTTAGGATGTTATTTTAAAATAGCACTTTTTATGTGTGTGAAAGTAAATATTACCTGGCCTGGTACCACAAACCTGAAGTCCTGTAGTCAGAGGCTGGCGAAGAAGGATCAGTGAGAGGCCAGCCTGTGCTTTGTCAAATAATCTGTCCAAAACACACACACACACACACACACACACACACATACACACATACACACATACACACACACACTTTAAAAATTGTTCAAAATGTCAGAAAATATAAATATATAAAGGAAAGGAAATGCCACCCCACTGTTAAGTTTTCCTATTACCAAAGAAAAGCGGCATATTTTGAGGGCAGAGCATAGCTTTGGAGTCTTTTTAAAAATTAAAATCAAAAGCAGAGGGCAGAGTTGGAGAGAAGGCTCAGTGGTAAAACAGTTTTTGCAGAGAACCTGGGTTCAATGTTCAGCACCCACATGGAGTCTCACAACCATCCATAACTGGTTCCAGGGGATCGGCCACCACAGCCTCTGAGGCCATTGAGTGTACCTGGTACACAGACATACATGCACACAAAACACTCACATATTTAAAATAAAAATAAACCTTTACAATAAATACTAGTCTAGTTGCCTATAGATGTAGATTCATTAACTTATTGGTAAACCTATTCTTTTTTGAGCACTTATTTTATTTGGCATGTGGTAATTATCAAGGACAAGATGGCGTCAGCCGGTGTATGCACGTGAGCGACACATGGCCTCAGACACCTACGCTTCCCTTGGACTGGGAGCATTTAAAATCCTCACCATTTGTTATTCGAAATGTTCAATGGGCTACTGGAGGCTATGATTCCTCCAATTTAGAAAATTCAATTTTACTATCACATATAAAATTCTTATAAAAAGCCAGGCCTGGATGCACGGGCTTGCCATCTGAGCTACTGCAGAGGCTGGGGCCTGGGCTAGACAGTGAGTTCAGGATCACCTTGGTAATTCAGTGAGACCCTGCCCCAAAATAAAAAATAACAAGGGGCTGAGGCTGGGACTTAGTGGCAGGCCTACGGCCTTATGTGCATGAATGTATGCCCGGTGTCAAGTGTCAAGTGCACAGCATGGTGAACACGTCATCAATAGCAATGGATGCTCTAGCTTGATGCCTATATTTCTGTAAACTTATCTTACTTTGGGATGGGGGTTTACTGCATAAGGGATCCAGGGCAACCCCACCTTAAGAGTATGTACTAAGCTCCACCCTAGCTCCTTTCTGACCCGCAACCCTCCTTCCTTCCTTCCATTCAGTGTCTGTGTGCCTCCACCCACCCTCCCTCCCCACCCTTTTGTCTTAAGACTGTGTCTTTGGTAGTTCAGACCAGCCTAGGATTCTCAAGATGTGGCTGAGGATGACCTTGTATGACCTTTAATTTCTGATCCTGCTGCCTCTAGCACCTCAGTGCTGGGATTACAGGCATGAACCGTCATGCCCAGTTTATACAGTGCTGGGATGGAACCCAAGGCTTTCTGCATGGTAGGTAAGCAAGCACTTGGAGACACATTCCCAGTTTCTCTCCTATTTCTTAAAGGGGAATTCAATGGACAGCATAGAAAACCAAACGGTGTTTTCATTGTGACATTTGTGACCCGATTGCTCTCTAGGATCTCCAGTCCAGTGGGTCCAACCCACAGGTCCGGTCCCAATGGGCTCCCAGGCCTCTTTTCCTGAGTCCATCACTTGATGAAAAGCGACAGCTCGCTGCCAGTCTCATGGGAAAACATATCACTATGTTGCTCTGTGGTCCTGTTATTGCTGGATACAGGTTTCCAGGTGCTTATTTGCCCTTGACTAACATGGTGAGTCCCTGGGGAGGACCGGTGTGCACCCCCTGTAGATCTGATATCCAGACCTTTCTCTTACCAAGCCTATGAATTGTTTGCTTGGGAGAGATACTCAAACCCAGTCTTATCTGTGCTTTTGAAATGGCAGAATTTGTTTACATTTCTAAAGCTAAATACAGCCATGGATCCTGTCTTTGGCATCTGCTTATAAAAATCCCACTGTGTCAAGGTCCTGTATGTGTGTGGTCCCATTGTCAACCAAAAAGGTATTGGCTTTCCTCACCCCTAGAGACAGTGTGATGAAACCTGAAATTCCTGAGCAGTTGGAATTTTATCTGGACCCAGGTCAAGGTCAGGACCTCACCTGCATAGGCTGGACAGGTCCGGCTTATCTGTCCTTCCCTCTGATCTTATGATGTGTGGGGTCTCTATTCGGCATCCTGTGACCAGACAGCCAGAGCCGGAGGCAAAGAGGACTCACAGCATTCCAGGCAGTCATGAGATAATGTGCCACAGGCAGGGCAGTGAGTACTGGCCTTCCCTCAGGCTCTCAGTTTGTACCCTGTACTACAGGGCAGGTGTGTCACTCCCTAGGTCTCAGACAAGGTACTGGGAATCTAAAGAGCACCAAAGGGCAAGGAGATGTACAGGGATACAGTCCAGATTGCAGAGAGAGACAAGATCCTTCTACTTCCAGAACAGATTTGTCACCCAGGAATAGTGGCACCCAGCTATAGCTGTCAGGTTGAAGGAATCGATGAGTATTGGGCCTTGCAAGGTGATGGCCTAGACTGTTGAGGTTGATAACCAGCACCAGAACTTCAGAGGTGAAGTCAAACCAAAGGGGAGGGGTACTTGGGTAGGCTCAGTCTCTGGGTGTGGAGATCAGAAGGATGGTGGAGGAGAGAGGGGTTCTATAGCGCCACATGTAAAACCTTGACTCAGCCTGGAGATAGGACGGCCTAGCGGACCAGCACAGCTCTCTCAAGCCCTCACATATGCTTAGCCTTGCCTGTCAGGACAGGCATGGCTGTGATGAAGACAGGCAGGATGGAACAGAACGTGACTGATGTTTCCTAGAATGGACTTTGTATAGAGACCTACAGGGTTCAAACATCTACCCAGGCAGAGAGAGGGTCCAGCAAGAGGAGTCCTGGCTGTGAGCCTACAGTGTGCAAAGGTCCCTAGGCAAGGCTGGCTCAAAGGCTGACAAAGCCTGTGCCAGTGTGGGTGGAGCCTGAAGAGGACACCAGGGAGCAGCAGTGGCTCACTGTGGGCTCCAGAGGACCCTGCCAACGCTCCAGCTGCCAGGATGGTGACACATGAGCTGGCTTCCAGAGCAGGAGTGATTCTATGAGACTCAGAGTCACTCAGTGCATCACGAGAGGCTACACAGAAAAGACCACCTCCTCTGCCCATACCGTCAAGGCTACCACAAGGGCCACTCCCTTGAGATGCTGGTCTGAAGAATGTGTCCGTTAAAATAAAAAAGTACTGTTATTATTAAGAGAGGAGGGTGCACATGCATGCCACAGTGCACACGTGGAGGCCAGAGAACTTTGTGGATTCAACTCTCTCCTTCCAACTTTATGTGGATTCCAGAAATCAAAGGCAGATTTCCAGACTTACATTGGTTGACTCATCTCTGCAGACCCTAAGTGTATCCATTTTAAGACCCAGGGATTGTGACATGTCTTGTTTGTCCCCATTAATGAGACTGTCCAGCATGGATAGTCAGGCAATTTCTGGGTAGCAGTCCTGAGGGAAGACCCACACTCACCTGACTAGTGCCTCCTGCTGGCATCCCATTTGCTGCAGCAAACAAGCAGTAAGTTTGTCCTCTTAAATCAGACATCATGCTTTTGATGCATCTGGCAGGCTTGGGGAGAGGAGAGACCAGGAGGCTGCAGCAGGATGTCTGAGTTGGAGGCCAGCCTGGTCTACAGTATGGAACCCTGTCTCAAAACAACCAACTAATGGACCATCAACAACAACAAATGATCCATGAATCTTGCTGTGAGGG